GCTTCACGTGAGAACATGGAGATAGGAATTTTGTTGGAGTGCGACGTGCCACAAGCACACTGGGAGACCTAAACTGTTGTTGTTGTACGTAACATACTTGGCTGGGCAATAATGGGTCCCATTCCCGCTGGCCCTAGGAGGAGGAAAGGTGCTTAGCAACAAAACGCTATCGATCAAAGTCCGACGAAAAATAAGGATTTCTCTACGGACGACCGCATGGCGTTGAACATCATGGAGCGGACTCTTATCTTATAGGGCGACCACTACATGTTGGAGTTGCCATGGCGAACCAATGTCCTCCTTGTTCAAAACAATAAGGTGCATTGCTTTCAACGCCTCGGCATGCTGCGTAAACACCTCCTAGGATCAAAGGACCTAATGAGGAAGTACATCGAAACCATGATTGAGTGCTTGGTACGAGGTTACACAGAACAGGTCGAATCAAAGGAAGTCGATCGTTAGTGGCATCTGCCCCAACACCCAGTCTTTCAGCCCGCCAAGCCGGATAAGGTAAGGATAGTATTTGGCTTTACGGCCAAATTTAGTGGTCTTTCCTTAAACGATCGAGTCCTCTCTGGACCTGACTTGACGAACTCACTGGTTTGGGTACTTCTCAAATTCAGATAGGAGAAAATTGTTATCATGGCGGACATTGAATCGATGTTCCACCAGGTACACGTTATGGAGAAGGATCGCAGTGCCCCAAGGTTCTCATCGTGGACGAACGGTGACTTGTCACAACCTCCGACGGAATACCGAATGGCAGTCCATTTGTCTGGTGCAGCATCATCTCCAAGCTGCGCAACATTTGCCCCCAATCGAGCAATCACCGATCAGGCGAGTGACTACGACGAGGACGTCATTCGAGATGCTAAACGAAGTTTCTATGTCGATGACGCTTGATTAGAGAACCGAATCGAGTCGACGCAATCCGCTTCTACCGGCAGCTCAAGTTGATGTTGGGAAAGAGGGTTCAACTTGAGGAAATGGAAGAGCTGATGGCGTCTGATTTTGGTTCAGATCGTGCCGCCACACTCGTTCAGCTGGTATGTCAAGACCAAGCAACAAAACTAGCTCTGGCTGTAGCTTGGGACCTCGAGCGTGACGAAGTTTGTTTTCATGTACGTCCAATGACGAAAGGTTTCACCAGGGGGAATATACTATCTTACGTGTCGTCGTTCTGTGATCCGGTCGGCTACATTCCTCCCATGACAATCCTTCCGAAACTGGTCTTACAAAGTTTGTGCAAGCGCAAATTAGACTGGGACGAAGAAATTTCAGGTGGTAAATTGAATCTCTGGAAAAAATGGTTCGATACTACACCTAACCTCGAGCGGTTCTCCATACCACGGTGTATCAGACTATTAGGGATGTCGTCATGTCCATTTCAGTTGCATGTTTTTATTGACGCCTCGGAAGCTGCTTACGACGGTGGCCTACCTGGTCCCCGATAACGAGGAAACCTCTAGATGCCAGTTAGTGTTTTCAAAGGCTCGGGTCGCTCTCCTACGTATACCACATCTGGAGTTAATGGCCGTGAAGATAGCTAAATTAATTTGAGCAGAAATGTATTTAAAGATTTCGTCGATGCACTTCTGGACAGATTTTCTTGTCGTTTTACAGAGTATCAGCAACAGTTCCAAGCGATCCCATACCTTTGTAGCTAACCGTATATCAGCCATATTAGAGTTCTCCGACCCGAACGAATGGCAGCACATTGAATCGAGTCAAAATCCGGTCGATCTGCTGTCGCGCGGAGCCTTTGCTGCTGAGAGGTGGAGAAATGACCCTGAATTACCGCTGATCCCAAGTGAGGTACTCCCTCGAGACGCGTCGGTTACCCAAAGGAAAGCTTTCATCTGTTCAGAATCCAAGTTGGCGACACCATGTCCAATCGTCCCGGTAATGAACCAATACAGTCATCGTCAGTCATGAACCAAACTGCAGAGTAGCCTGGATCCCCCGTTACAAACGATATTTAAGGACGCCAAACGAAACTCCCAGAGGCATCCTGACCTTGACATAATTGAAAGAGGCAACGTTGCAGGTGGTGAAATCGATACAATTAAAATCGTTCCTTCATGAACTCAGTCACCTTAAAGATCACGGGACTCTTGATGTGGCATTTAGACGGTGCAGAACCGAGAACAGATCTCTGGGTTTGTTGTCAAGTTCGCTGAGGTCTCTGACACCAATCCTCGTCGAAGGAGTGCTACGTGTTGGAGGACGACTCCAAAACTCGAACCTATCCTGTGAAACCAAACACCCCATCATAATGCCGTCGCGCCACTTCGCTACTCGACTTCTAATTCGACAGCATCATGAAATGAATGATCATATGGGATTCGGCTACCTCATATCAATCATAAGAGAGCAGTACTGGATTTCGCGAGCGAACAAAACGATAAAGTCCGTGTAGTGAGAGTGCCTCCGATGTCGTAGATGGTTCTCTCAACCGAACCAACAAGCCATGGCTTCCTTGCCCATCGACCGTACTGTACAATGTTGTGATCCGTTTGCAGTCTCAGGAGTCGATTATTTCGGGCCGATCTTTGTGAGGAGAGGACGTGCCGTCGAGAAACGTTACGGTTGTTTATTCACGTGTTCGAGTTCACGAGCAGTACACATCGAAGTGGCCTATTCCGTGGAGAGGAACCCCTTCTTGTGCGCCTTTAATCGATTTGGGGCTCGTAGAGGTTGCCCTCAGTGTTCATATAGCGACAATGAAGGCAATTTTAGAGGAACGGAGGTAGAAGTGAAGCAAATCTTACGGACTTGTATCAAGATAAGATTGAAAAGGCCCTGCTAATCAGTGAATACGATTGAATTTCCAACCCTCCACGAGCTAGTCACAGAGGAGCAGTATGTGAGAGAATAATCCGCACNNNNTCCGCACGATTAAACGGGTCCTAATCATTGTACTTGAGGAACAGCACCTGACAGATGAAACCTTAAGCACCACTTTGACAGAGGTAGAACGGATACTCAATGAAAGGCCACTAGTGAGACAGACGGATGACCCGGATGATCAGCACACACTTTCATCAAGCAAGCTACTACTTTTAAGGAGCAATGCTTCTGTGCCGATAGACGAACCCGTATCAAAGGTATGTTTTAGCAGATGGCGCCAGGCTCAACACTTAGCTGACACATTTTGGAAAAAATAGTTAAGAGAGTACCCACGCAATCTCGCTGTCTCGAAAATGCAACTCTGTGCATACGGGCCCTGTTGTTGGACAATTGGTACTGCTGCTAGAAACAGACAAGACTCGAGGTCAGTGGCCAAAAGCAATCATCGAGGAAGTACATACAGGTCAAGACGGTCTTATACGAGAGGTCACAGTGAGTACGTCGGGCGGTCGAGCACGAAGAGGTATCAGACAGGTGTGCCCGTTGGAAGGAGAGATCAGCCAGGATGAAACTTTGGGATGCTCCTAATTGTCGGAGAACCCTGACTTCGTGGGGGAGTGAGACATGTTTAATTCTTCACCGCTACTATTGACTGTTGTCAGTAGTCAAACTCTTTTCGGACAATCCTCTTTGTTTCCTGGTTGACTGTAATCCGTCTTTGTCTTGGCGGCCGGCTATCTTGGTTTGTTAACTGTTTTGCACTGATCACCACGCATCGGTGCTCTTTGTTGAACTGCTGGTCAAACTAATTCAAATGTACGTTTCTTTTGGATTTCAACCTTGTTGTTTACCACACCGTATGTTAATGTATTGTTTTATCATTAGAGAACCACCAAAGACAAGAATCCGAGACGTTATCACTATTTTCGGATATTGATATTGAACTCGGGGTGCGTATATTCGACCAAAGACTAGCAAAAGACCGCACATACGAATCGCGTAACAACAAGCAGAGCAGGATATGTTGCTTCTGTGTGGAGTCATAACAAAGCATTANAAAGCATTAATATGTGGAACTTAATATTATGGAAACTCAAAGCTCTCAAATAAGGGGAAAACGAAAGGTCCGCTAGCATGAAGTCAATCTAAGACGTATTTCGTACACACACAATCTACCTCAGCAGAAAGTTGTTTGACGGTTGGGAGACATTTTCGAAATAGTTTACTTAACTATTACATCTTTAGATGATGAAATGGTGAACTCAACAGGCTTTTGCCAATCTAGGATACATGTGGTGCCGTCATGCTATCCGCCCCTGTAAATGGTTGAGTGTAGGCTGCAGCAATTCGGCTAGCGCTGATTAGCCAT